ATTGAACTCGGGACCTTGTGCTTGTGAGGCAGTCAGCACAACCACTGAGCTAAATCCCCGGCCCTCTTGTGGTTTTGCATGGAAAGGAGGCAAAGAATGAGAAGATCCAGAGAGGAGCAATAATAACATCATTTTCTGACACCATCGATCACAGTGTTGACTAATTTCTTAGAAAGTTGAGTCCTTTTGAGAATAGCAGTGTATTAGAATTTTTTATTAAAGTATGTTCAAAGCTTACATTAAAATTATTGTATTGCATTATATTATTAGAGAATAAATATTGAAACTCTTGATAGAGTTTTTTTAGAGCATTTTGAAGTATAGATCACATTTTTTTAAAAGGACACATAGAAGAAATAATATTTCACATAGGTATACATATATGGTATCAGGTTTAACAAAGAATACATCAGTAGAATTTTTAAAGTTATATTTATTTTATTTTAAGTTTGAGGAAACAGTTTTATTTTATAATACTCAAATATTAAGAAATAGTCTAAGAAATCCCAGGTTTTAAATATATATTATAAATATACAGTAATAAATAAAATGTTAAATGCATTTTAACCCATCAGTGTAAAATACAGAATATTTCCACACCATTTTTATTTGATTTTATTCTTCTATTTTGGTATACTTTTGTTATAAATACATGACTAACACTCCTATACCATTAAGCTCTTTATTGAAAAAAATATTATTGCATTGAACTACAGTCCAAGTAATGTATTGGGTAACCTAAAAAAAGCTGCTTTGCATGTACAATAGTGCAATTTACTTAGCCACAGTATAAGATAAAAAATGCTTTGAACACACAACATAAAATAAAATTATTGATTGATGTGTCATATTGTCAGACTATCACTCTAATTATAAATTAAATTCTTTAAACAGAATCGAACACGTTGGAAGCTTGCTGTCAGTGGCTACATAACCAATATACATTATCAACTATTTATAGTCTCACAGACCGAGGGAATTGACAATTCTGCATGGGGGATAAGAAATCTCTTCCGGAAAGTGACATTTCAATATACGAGTATGTTCTGAAAGATGCTAAAAAGTCACTGTTTTGAACACAGTACAAAATCTGCAACTGAAGACTGAAGATTATATTTTTTAAGAACACATGTGTACACACATACGTACACATATTTTAATTTTTCCAGTTTTCTTGACTTAATTTTTGTTTCTGGAACAATATCCTTGCTCTCGTTATCTGAGAAAGGTTGTGTACTGCAAAATTAGGAGGTGATTTCAAGAAAGGAATTTGAAATTGGAGGTATCTCTCCTCTACAAAGCTGAATAGAATGAAAAGACCTTGGCTTATTTTTCGAATACTGGCTTATTCTAAACTTAACCCATTCAGCCACTGCTTACATTTTAATATAGCTTAATCCCAAGAAATACAGCATCTCTCTTCAAATGTCTACCTAATAGAAGAAGTGGATCATATTTTTTGCTGAAATGAAATTACAGCCTTTGAAAATCCTCTAGACCCAGGCTTATTGGCATGAAAGCTGGTATTTTAATAGAAAAATTCTCACCTTATTGGAGGGATCTCAGGCTGAGACACAAAAGTTAGCCGTGTGTTTTCCTGACTTCTGAATGGAACTGGTTAGCCACTTGTTTTTAATAATGTTTCTATTTGCCCATGAGCGCGCATCTATGATCAGGAGCTCATCTAATAGAAAGACTCAAAATTAAACCTCTTTATGAGGTCTGCTTCTCCCTCACTAGACAGAACACTTGATGCCCTAACTGATACAGCCACCTCTCATCTCCAATGATTACTCTAAATGCTTAAAATGCATCATGCTTAGGGATCAGCTTTAATGATTATAAAATTCAGAAGCTGTGTGGCTGCCATCATGGGGAACTGTGTAAGAAAATGAGAATTCATAATAAGTAGATGGATCCAGCAACATGATCCTAGGTAATTTCACTGAATATTCCATCTAATGAGAAAGACTTATAGGGTTAGTTTCTTTAAATATATTTCTATCCAGTGATAACAGAGAGATTCCATTAAGTGCTGTCAGAAACTAAAGAAAAAAGAATCAGTGTCAAATCCATTTTCTGTAAGTGAAATAGAAATTCGAGAGAATCATTGTGTGAAATGTCTCTCTACCAAAAAAAGGTCTGGGAATTAAGGATTTTTCTAAATCATTCTTTTTATTCTAAGCATTTCCTGTATTTTACTATATTTATGACATTTACTAAGGTGAACTTGAGAATTTTGGAGCATGATTTTTATAACCTCAGTTATATTTTTATTGCTGAATTTGACCCAGAATGAGTAAGACAATGAACTTTCCTAAATTTTCAGCCCTTCACACAAACTTGTTATTTGAAACAGAATTTGTTATTTAAAGATCCACAGAGGCTGTCTTTGCAGACTGTTTCCTAACACATTAGAAAAATATGTAGATGAGTGTGTGCTGAATGTGTGTGTGTTGGACAGACTTCACTTAATAATTGTTTAATTGAGCATATACAGTTTGCACCTCCATAAGCTAAGTATGATAGAGCAGTCTCAGAAAGAGAATGAGCCCATAGTGTCAGGCGATAGGAAAAGAAATTTAATGCCCCAGGTCACCCATCAAATAACTGGGAGATGATAATATTGAAAATATAGTCTGTCACAGTGAATGTTTTATAATGGATCTATTTTAGAATCCAACATATATGTGGAATTATTTCATTTTTTTTTCAAGAGTATTTTTCTATTCAAAGTAAAAAATAAAATATAGTGCATGGCCCTTCCTACAATTACTGGTTTGAAATAAGGTTTTTAGTTGTTGTACCTTTCCTTGTATGATGTCCTAACCATTTCTCACCTCAGAATACGTTATGTTTTGTTCAAATTATGTCGTCTGCTTTCCCTCACCACAGGACAGATCCTCTAGCGAACCCGTCCATCAGTGTTAGCATAAACTGGAATAGTCCTTGGTATGGCAGTTCCTATCAATCTAGCTTTTCTGGTCAAGAGAAAATATCCAGCCAGGCATGGTGATGACCCCTATAATCCCAGCACTTGGGAGGCTGAGGCAGGAGGATTGCTATTAGTTCCAGGCCAGCCTGGGCTACATAGTGAGTTTGAGGTTCCCCTGAAATGCACAGCTAGATCCTGTCTTAAAACCAAAACAAACACACACAAACAAAAAAATAAATATATCCAGTAAGAGGTTTTCTCTTTAACCTTCTGAAAAGGTAAACGGTCACCAAGACTATGATAAAATTAATCGGGTACACTGTCTTTTCTATACCAGGACTTCCAGTGAATTCCCATGTTTATTCTAACTTGTCTATAGGTCAGCTTTATGATATGCTTTGGTAAATAGTTGCTCACATTATTTTTATCTTCTGGACAATTTGTAGCTACTTTTATAATAAATATCAAACGTGTTTTACTTCTCTGTGGATTTGTCTAATGTTGGTTAATGGCTTGTATAGTCACTTTTATGGAGTTTCACACAATATTCTCGTTATTTGATATTTTTCTTTCATTTTTTTCTATTCAAATGAGCTAGACTTTGTCTCTGCTCTGTCGCCATGAAAATACCCAACCTATTTGTTTCTGGGATTATTATGGAAACTATTTCTATGTCAACATTTCCAATTCACTTTATCTATTTTCATTTTCTCTCACCTGTCTCTCCTATGCATGGAAGATTACTTTTTAACTGTTTACTAAGTAGGCATTTAATCTTGCAACTTAATTGTTCTCATTAATACTGTCGAAATATAATATTGATCTCAAAATACATTTGTAAACATTAAGTGGGGTACTGCGATCTGAGAGCTGACTGACTACACAGATCCATTGTCAGTAAATATAGCTACCTTCTCTTGAAGACAAGGTGGATGAGATGTCCTGCTCTTCTTCTAGAGGCAAACATATGCAGCATCAGGTGACTGATCACTTCTTTCTCTGTATTGTCTGCTTTTCTTTGAAATCCATGCTTATGGGGAAGGTATAATAACACAAATTATTATTTTTTAAAACAAGCCGGGCGTGGTGGCGCATGCCTGTAATCCCAGCACTGGGGAGGCTGAGGCAGGAGGATCACTGTGAGTTCAAGATCAGCCTGGGCTACATAGTGAATTCCAGGTCAGTCTCAACTACATAGTGAGTCCCTGTCTCAAAAACAAAAAAGAATATAAAACAATTAGCCTAAGTGGATGGATATTCACAAATGTAGATTTAAGAAATTCAACTTCTGTGGGTCAGAACACACTTTGAATGAATATTTGAAATAATGGTCATTTGATTCAGCATCATTGATTGTTTTATGAATATGCAGTACAATAAATAAAACAGACCAAATACTTTATAAATTTTCTCAATGAGTATGTACAAATACTGATTTTTCAAGCATTTTATCTCCATCCTTATCTATGTTGGCGGAACACAGTAAGGTTTATGAACAGAAGAATAAGGAAAATTTAACATTTTGATCACTGGAATATTTGAAAGATTGGTCAATATATCCAAGTTGTTATTCTGAGTACATTTTCTTTTTATTGGTATTGCCAAACACTACCAAGTTCAGACATTTTCTTATGAAAATTCAAACATTCTTAATTTTAGATATTAGTTTTATAATAAAATAATAATACATAAAATGATATGGAATGAAGTTAAGTGATATTTAAACAAACAGAAGACTTTCATTCTTGGGGGGGGGAGGGCAGGGATATGGGGAAAAATGAGAACCAAGACCTGTCATGTAAAGGTACAAGATCCCAATGATGAAGGTAACTGTACTGTACACCTAAAATGTAACAATAGACTCAACGAGAAAAAAAGTAGATTTCTTGCCATCTTTCGTTTACTATGAAAATAGAGTGACTTACTACGTCGAAAGCTCAGCCAACAGCCACAGGAATTATATTTAACAATGGACTTCTTTCACTGAACATTTATTAATATCTGATAAATAAAATCAAATGTACATTCATTCATTCACACAGCACACATCAAGAACATAGGGCATTCTATTCTATTTTTCTTTGTAATATCAGTGATCCGTCTGAATGTTTTGCTTGAATCATTTTTAACATTGTGTGAGGACTCATTAAAAAACACCTTAACACTTTCCCCTCTATCCTCCCATAAATTTGTTTCATATTTGCCTACTACTTTTACCAGTTAAAATAAAATGTTCCTGTTTGGATATCCGTAATTTAGTTCATATTCAGATATCGGTAGCATTTTGAATCGGTACCAATTTTTTAAACCTTGCAATAATCAGATACTTTAAATATATCGTTTCATAGGTAGTGACGATTTATTTATCCACACATATTAATTCAATGTTTTAACACACATTAATTCAAGGGAGTTGACACATGTAAGGCCTCTTTGACTCCATTTAACTGTTGCATCTGGCTGGAGTAAGACTGGTGGAACAGATCTTGACCTTGGAACACTGGTTGGATTAAAGGGTTCCAGTGGATGACAGAAGCTGCGGCTGGGTTTAAGTGAGGGCCAAACAAGGCTGGGATGAGCGCTGCCGGAGGCAGGGGCGGAAGCGTTATGTGGGATGGGTAAAGGGGGGCTGCGTTGACTAAATGCAGGGGGTGGCCTGCTAAGAAAGTGGGGTGCGCAGGGAAGATGGGTGGAGTCAGAGTTGTAAATGAAATAGGAGTAAACTGTGACTGGGAAAGAGGAGGGAGATGAGCAAATGGGACGGGACCGCTGTGGGAACTGACGGCAGCAGACACAGCAAAATGCTGCAGGAACGTGTGGTGGACGGTGGTGATGGACGTGTGCTGGTGAGCGGGCGCTGTCTGCAGGGCTGAGGCTGGAGAGAAGGCAGCGGGTCCTGCAGCAGGCAGCACTCGGAGGTGCTTTGCCAGGACCTGGTTCTGCATATGCTGCTGGGCCTGTAGCTGCAGAAACTTATATTTATCTATTTCATCTTGGGAAAAGGTTATAGGCTGTTGAAGGAAAGGAGGAGAGAGAGATTTACGACACATCTGTAATTCCTCTTCCGCTTTGTCATGCTTCTGCGCAGTTCTGTCATAGTAAGTGCTTATATTCCCCTCTGCATGATTCCTATGCATGCTCACATCCTGTATGTCTAGATTTATTTGGTCCCTTCTGGTCTCTGTTGAATCGGTTACTCCAGTATATCTATTAGATGGAAAAACACCAGGGAAATCATTTGGTACTGGGTCATGGCTTTGAATAAAAGCCTGGACTTCACTAGTTAAAGATTTTGATTGTTCTTTTGTTCTTGGGTTCTTTTTTCTGTTTAGTGACTGAGACTCGGCTGCTACATGAATCATACCGTTAGAAAGACGGTCATCAGATTTGGTGTCCACTAAGGCAGTACAGTGACTTGTCTGTGAGCTTCTGATTTTGTCTTTCTTAGTAGACCTTTGAACTGCATTGCCTTTACTGTGTTTTCTTCTACTCGTGTGTTGTCTTTCTTCTGGAAACGGCAATGTTGATCTTTTACAACCTGGTGGTGCGAGTTGACTTGTGACCTGGATTCCTGCATGAGCCATGGATTCACTTTTACAGCTGGGTGAAGAGACCTCCCAATTTGTTGATTGCTCCTGACACTTCCTTGCTTGTACTCTTTCTAAAAGGCTTTTGGCTGTTAGGGGGCTCCGCTCTCCTGAAACTTTTGTCTCTGTGGTGTCCGGAGGTTCAGTGGGAGAGGTCCTCAGAACGTAGCTGACAGTCCCCGAATCACAACGCCCTTTCTCAGCTTTCCTCCAATCACAGACATGATGACTGCCCAAGAATTCTTGACTTCTCTTGCTTTTATTTAAGTAATCAATCCTCTGACTTGAATAAGAGCCCAATTTTCTGTGTTGAGCTTCCTGGAAATCAGGAGATTTTTCAGTGTTTCCAGCACAGGAAACCTGTGAGCAGGAATCACAGTGGATGATTCTCATAGATTTTAGCCCTGAAAATTGTTGATTTTTATCCAGTTTATATCGTTCTTGGTAATGGCAATGTCTGTGTCTTAAGTATTTTTTATTCTTCAATGATTCCCACAATTTGCAGTTCCTGTGTCTCTGCGTTTCAGACTGCAGACCATTGTTCTTTGTCATCTCGTGGGACAAACAGAGGCAGGTGTGCTTTCCAGGCTTGCATTTGTGGCTTTCTACTGAGCTGTGTTCTCTTTTGCAAAGATAGAGCAAATCATCATTGCTGCTAGTATTAGACCTGTGACTTGAACAAGTGCTTCTCAGGCTGGACATACTGCTCAACGATTTGTCCAAGAGGCTGTAATGTCCCCTGTGAGATGACTTGGGAGGACATCTCGGGCTTTGGTGTCTACATCCAGACACACTACTGGTCATGTTGATGTTGCTATTCAGAATTACACTGGCATCCTTGCTCGGGCCACTGTGACTCCCACATACATAAGGACTAGAATTCCAGGTGAGATGATTTTCTTCTTCAAACACGGAACGAGGTTTGCAGGAAATCAACTTATGCTTCTTAGTCCTAGAGATGCAGGAAGGAAAGGACACATCCTTGTTTTCATCATTTAGAACTACTCCTCCACAACTTTTCCAGTGGGATCTTGAAGGTTCCTTAAATTCAAGGTCGGTAGTATTGTTCTTTCCTACACAGTCCTTTAGAGATACAGCAAGGTAAGCAGGCACTTCAGGATTTTTCAATTCCAACTTACTTGCACAGAAATTATGTTCACTCTTCTTAGGCTCGGAATCATTGTAGCCCAAATTACACTTTCTCTGGAAATTTTCCCAATCTGCATTAGCTATGATCATCTTTGGTTTCAGAGACCGGTTATCTTCTTGGATAAGTTGTTGTTGGTCTTTGACTAAACCTGAGACTTTGCTTTCTATTTTTGTTTTCACTTGCAAGGCTTCCTTGCCCAATTCTGTTCCTAAACTGTCAGGATTGTTGACACCCTTTGTGTTTCGAGAAAGCTTGAAATCAAAATACAATGGGTTGCAGCCATAAGAGATACAGGGCTCTGTTTTTGTGAAGAGCAGAAGTTCTGTAGGCCATTGGAGAGTGGTGTGGCCATCCTTGCTTTGTACATGGAGAAAAGGCAATGGCTCGGATGTCGCATCGTGGGGACATCCTTCTCTTAGAACTTTTTGCCTGTGTGTGCTAATTGTTTCACTTTCATTTAAAGATTTTCCTCTGGTCTCCAAGCTGGAATTGCCACCCAAATGTACTGTATTCTTTTGTTCACTCAGCTCTGGTAACAAAAAGTCATCCAAACATTCAAATATCCTGGTATCCCTGTGCTTATAAATGTTTGCTGTGCTGAAGGAAATGCTTTCTTGGCCTGGGTGATTCATGCAATTTTCTGAAGCGTTTTTCAATATATTTTTAGTTTCTTTCTCTCTGCTGGCAGGAATAAAATCTTCGTCTGAAAGATGAATGTTACCTTTGGAGAAAGAAGCCTGAATGCCAATGGAATCTTCCAGCGCCTCATCCATAGAGTCATTTTGGTCTTGCAAAATATTAGACCTCCTGGTAAAGGTATTGCGTAAAACACTCTCCACAGGAATTGGTGAGACACTTCCGACTCCTGCCTCAGTGAGTCGAGCATCCTCCTTTGCAAACCGGCAACATTTGCATTTCTCCATAGTTTGTTTTTTTTTGTAAGTGGGTGACTTGTTACAATCGTAGGTTTCTTCTGTGCTCTCCCTGAAAGCGGGTGCTGAAGATTCTAACTTTAGATGCACTTTTTTAGAGAATGAAAACGATATGCCAGTCCTGGGGCTTGCGTTGCCGAGACCAGAAGGTGTGTGCGGTATCCGACTGCCAAACAAACAAAGCCCGTCTGATGGTAACTGGTGTCGGGGGTGCACGGTAAAACGCTGTCTGTCAGGAATGTTCCTGGGGATGTTCTTTCCCTTGAGGAGAAGAGCACTCTTCATGCAGGGTACCTTTCTGCTGCTCTTCACTGAGAAAATTCCCTGATGGATTTGCTTTTCAATGGCTATCCTGGGGGCTTTGTACGCTGGTCCATTTCCAGAAACACTGTAAACATAATAAATATTTAAACAATTAATACATTTGAGTTTTGAGCCTTACCTAGGTGTGAGCATGTCGTGTTGACTCTATGATATTTGACTATTTACGAGCTAATTACATAGTCTGTAATACAACTATTTTATCATGAGTTTACAAGCCAGTATAACTTTTAGTGTGTATACTTGTAAAATGCACTGTTAAGTGTATTATTTAGAAATTAGTAAAAAAAAAGAGCAAATTAATTTTTTTGCTAGCGCCAAAACAGAATTCGTTACATACAATATATGTCCCTTGGAACTTGTCCATTCTTGAGTACAGATTGAAACGGTTCCGTAATTTTCCAATCAGAGCATTCACATTAAATAGGAAATAAAGTAAAATTGAAATTTACTTTCAAAGTACAAAAGTATTCTTCAGTTTGCTTTTATGTATAAATTCTAGCATTTTCTAATTTTTGGTTTTGCAGTTTTGAAATTCCGGCTTTATTTCCATTTGAAGCAGAATAGTAAGCTCCTGCTCTATGACTAGTCACTAGTTTGAGTCATCATAATTAATGCAGAAGAAGTAGACATACTCGCTTTCTCATTTATGATGACTTTGAAATCTTTCCTCTGACTCTTTCTAAAATCCTACCTTCTGTGCATACATGTCTTGTGTTTAAACGTCTTCAAAGACTATTCATTCAATTGTGCTTCATTAGTAATTGAAAAACTAAAATACAAATATCGCACACCCGGGAGATGACACACTTCTGCTAAAAACCATTCTGCCCTTTAGAATTTTACCTATAAACCTTCTACTACAAAACAAGCATTCACTGGGACAAAGCAATACATCATATGATTTATGTAATTTTTTGTTTTCTTTACTTTTGTCTTTTACTGTTTGCCAGGAAACACATTTACTTTATTTCTCTTTTAGATTTTTATTTAATTTTTATTCTGTCATTTGTTTCTTGAATATAAAATATTAAAATGATAATACTGTATATATTCACAACACAAAGTTTAAATTCCAAAGAAGAGATTTGTGAGACCTTTCTAAAAACATTGCCGTTGGTTTCACTTGTGACTATTTGGCCAATTAGTTTAGAACTCTGCAACAGTCTCCAGTTTCGGCGCCCAGTTCCATACACTTTGATTCATTGTCTTTATTTCCGAAGTACTTCAGGCGTGAGTCATTAGCCTACTTTTATTTATTTTTGAAATGAATCTATTTACTAGCATAATTTTCCTTTTTATTCATAGAAAATCAATTTATAATATTTGGTATATAAACATTATTCTTTTCTTATGTTATTTACTTTATATTTACCAGAACACAGAACACAACTAGAAGTTGATTTCTTTTGGTTAATTTTTAATATTACTTCTGAAGCACTTCTAATTTAGCTTCATTCAGCAAAGGTACATTTTCTTTTCTGATTTTCTGATTACTGCATTATTCTTGTTCTCCTTTCCTGTACCGGGGTAGGTATGCTAAAATTACTGGCTTTCCTAAACGCATGCTTTGGGTCTTTCGGCTTATTACAGAACTGTACTGTCTTTGGTCTTTTGCTATAGTTTAGGGAGAATTTCTTGTATTTAGTATTGATTATTCAGACTTCTTCGTTTTACACTATTTCAATCTGTTGTTTATTATGTCCATATGGAGTTTAATTTGCAAACAATCATTTTAGTCACCCTTTAATTTTCAATGATTTCATATATCTCTTCTCATACATGAATTAATGGCTGTAAATACAGAGTTAGAGCATTTCCCTGAATCTTGCAGAAAACCAAATTTAGAAAAAAATTTTTCTTTTTATTGAGTGTATTGGTACATTCTAGGTATACAGTACAGTTACACTCATTATTGGGATCCTGTACCTCTCCATGACAGGTCTTGGTTCTCATTTTTTCCCCTTGTCCCTGCCCTCCCTTCACCCCCTCCTCCCTTCCCCATTTACAAACACTTTATTTCCAGTTTTTCATTTTCTCATATTTTCACTTTTCCCTTATTCTCCTTCCCCTACCCTTCCCACTTTTCCTACACCTTTAGCCTTCCTTCCTATTTCACATTGTTAATTATCCCATTAGGATCTTGTGTACTATTATAGTTTTTCACACCAGATAAACTATTTGGTATTAGAAATTTTCTAAAACTGAATTCTGTGCCTTAGTTTCAAAATAAAAATGATCTTCTTTGAGTTCTTTGTAAATAGGGAAGGATGAAGGGGGTAAAAGGGGTGAAGGGAGGGCAGGGGTATGGGGAAAAAAAAAGACCCAAGACACACACACACACACACATATACATAATGTAAATGTACACACATACAAACACACACACATATATCATGTAAATGTACGAGATCCCAATGATAAATGTAACTTTGTTGTTTGCTTTAAATGTACTAATAAACTTAATGGGGAAAAATGATCTTCTTGTTCTCACAATAATTTCCCTTTCTTAATATGAGAAATGGATAGAAACATTTTAAGACAGTGTGTGGGTTACTGAATTTTTTTCAAACATAAAGAAAAATAAAGAGCATAGAGATTTAGTGTAGTAACTGGCCTTTTAAAGTGTCTGCAGCCTGAGGATAGAAGACCGAAATTGAGAAACAGCTGTAACCCTCCACTTTGCGTGTTGTTAAAGATTCCATTCCACATTTGTAGCCACACACTGGATTAAGATCTGTATCTCTACATTAAGTTGCATGCTCCATGAACCTTGATCAATTTGTCATTATCAGGACTTATACTCAGCAGAAATTATTCCAAATGTCTAGCGGACCGATGCTATTGCTTTTCCTTCCAGATTCCTTTATGATACAAATACTATAGTATTTCCATATTATATTTTAAATATACATTTGCCTTAGCAATATTTTTGCTTATTTTTCTGGCACTGTTTTCTGCATGTTCTTGTCTGATTTATGTTAATCTAAATGCTCTCTCCTTTATTGCTGCTTTATTTTACTATTTATCTCTCTAATGTGAAAGCTTCTTTTCTCACATTATTTTAAATATTTTAAACTTCTCTGCTCTTAATGCTTTTACAGTATATTTTGAACTTAACTTTTAGTTCTTGGTTCTTGTTCTTATTTTCCAATATACTCTGCAGTTGTGATTATAGATTTTTAAATGTTTTAGCCTTTTATTCTCAGTGTTACTCTTTAAGACCTCTTATTTTCATTCTTTGCATTCTTGACCTTTTGCTTTATAAGCTTCAATTTCTCTTATCTCAAATATTATTTTCTTACTTATTTTGGAAAATCCTAATTTTCTATCCTTGTAGTGTTAATTATTACTTCAATATAAGTTTATGCATTACAACATTATAAATATTTTTGGTATTAGGTATTGAACTCAGGACTGTGCACTTGCCAGGAAGGCATGGCGCCACTAGGCTAAATCCCTGGCCCTATAACATTATTAAAGCTTTAATTTTTCTAGCTTTATTGTGGTGTAATCGACAAATAATTGTTGTATTTACTCTAGATGTATGGCATGATATTTTAATATATGTGTACATTGTACAATTATTACCATGATAATGTTAATTGACACATTCATTACCATATTTTGCAGTGTGTTTGCACATGTAGTGAAAGAGTAAGGACACTAATATCCACCACCATCCTAATAAATTTCAAGTAAACAATTGAGTATTATCAATTCTAGTCACCAGGTTCCACATTAGATCCTAAGAACCATATCAGAAAGTTTGTATGAATTTACCAATCTGCATATTTCTCCTACATTTAGCTCTATTCAACTCTATCTGAAATAGAAACTTCATACCAGCTTTCTGCTATCATTTGTTCATCTGTCTGATTCAAATATTCATACATAGCAAATTCACTTGCCTTTTCCACAGAGTCATAGCAGAATCTTGTTATCTAGTGTACACTACTCAGAAGCCCTGATTGTGAGGACAAAGGACAAAAAAAGGTTACCCATGTAGAGAGTAAGTAATGTTGCTATTTTTCTTCTTTGTTTCATTTTAATTAATTCAGAGGCCAAGATAAAAATATTAAAACATTTTATTATGTAACTTCCCTTAGGTTATGGGATTATTTAAGAAGATAGAGCAGTTGGTTAGAGGATGAGTGGTAAGTATTATGAAAGGAGAAATAATCATCCTAGTTTTGTGTTATGTATCTAGAAGGCCAACATTTGTCTTTTTCCTGACAGTATACATACAACGCCACCTACAAAGCCTGCCTTTTTCGTATGCTAAATGAACCCAGATGTACAAGGTTTGTTTTGCTTAGTAAGAAAGTTTCCAGATTGACACCTGATCTTTAATGGAATGAATCTTACAATAAACAAGCCTGCCAATGGGTACCTCTGGCAAACTTAGAAAATTAAACAAACACATCATTGCCGTCAACACCACCCACTAACACCACCATGTGTCCTCAACGCCGTCCTGCCCTGTGTTCTTTTTCTCACAATGAAATAAAGAACGTGTGAGTAGAAATATAGGAGTGGGGTGACTTTTGTTACGACAAAGCAATCAAAATTGTGCTTGTTAAGGCTATTCAGACTTGTTGCGGAGACACGCAACAACTCTAGCCTGTCCTACGAGCGCCTGTCTTGAGGAGTTTTCAGTGGTGGGGACTGACACATTTATTATGGTCTGATTTATTGTATCTCATATGTAATCATGCAGGAATTGATATCTTTCTTAGATTTTGTTTCCTCTGCCTTACCCTAGCAAATATATGACTTGCTCTTATAGGTCTTGTTTTAACGAAGATTAGCCTATAAATTATTGACAAAACATTTGACATTGTATTGGCTGATATAAACTCAATACCTAATTTTTTACCCTCTTCTTAAATTTTATGGAAAATCAGAGAGTGCATTTTTGGTTTAACCTTCGCTCTGGATACATACTAAGCTTCTAGTTTTTTTTAACTAAATCAAATTCATTTTTAATATGATTATTATGTATTTTTATAAGTTAATTAAATAAACTGACTTCTACAAATATGAATATGTGCAACTAATACTATTTTCACCTCTCATTGATTCTAAAAACCAAATATTTACTTAGACTCCCACTTGAAGTCTAATATTCTGTAGTAATATAAGTTGTTCATTTCTGTGGTTGTACACTGTTTTTCACTTAACAGGGGTTTAAATTCTAGCACAGAGCTATAAATTTCACATTTAACTATGTTGCTGCCAACCACATTAATTAGCTGTTAGTGTTATACATTATGATTCATATGAACACAAATCACAATCTGCAAATTTAATTGCTTTCCAGGTAACAACTTTGAAACACTGAGTGGTTCCAAGATTTTGCAAAACTGCTATTTTTCAGCTACAAGAATGTATTAGCGCAATGCATGTTATATTATAATTATCAATTTAAATGGCACTGTGTGGGAAATTTAATTGCATTAATTACATCTTATTTGTCAGCCAATGATAGTGTTATTTACTCTAGATTCAGACATTCACAGGAGAATGTACAGAAGACATATTTCTCCAGAAATGCTTTGTTAGTTATGATTTTTAAAATTATTATTGCAAAATTTAAATTACCGAGGAACTATGTCAGTTCATTTAAGTCAACTGCATAGAATAAATGCTAGTATATTACAATCATTCTTGGATCATTTCATTAAAGAGTACAATGAAATACTATTGGGTAGGAAAAATTAGTGGCAAAAGTGATTAATTTATAAAACTTTATCTGTTATAAATAATTCCCCACTGACGTATCTGTTGATTATTTACAATTTTACTCTGCTATAGTAAATTGAAATTTGCTATTTTATCATGGAAATTTCCCTTCAAGCTGAATAGACTTCTGAACCAACTCAAATTCTTAGGGCCAGGGATTTAGCTCAGTGGTGCCGCCACCTGCCCTGCAAGTGCAAGGTCCTGAGTTCCATCTCCAGTTTAAAAAAAAAAAAAAAAAAAAAAAAAAA